CCTAGAAACTTCTCCTGCACTCCCCTCTCCACCTTCCAGGAAACAAAAGGATGTTTAAAGTCAAGCATCCAAAAGAAGCATCAGAGCAAGGCTGGCCTGCTCCTACTTTGTATCTTGACCTCTGTCTCCAGGCATCTGCTGTCTCTGCTCTGCTCTCCTCCCTAATTCAGGAAGGTACCACCCCCATAGGAAGGCTTGGGACTTGCCTGGCCGTGTTCATCACCCAGTGAATAAGTTCATCCAAGTGAAGCAGAGTGAAGGAGCCTTTTGCAAACCCAATGCCATGTCTTTCAGTCAGCCAGTGGAGGATATTCTGTGGCTTACTTCTGAAGACAAAACTGAATCACAACTGACAAAAATCAGAATAGGAACTCCTCCACTTTGTACAATGATTCACAGAGAAAAGGGAAACAAAATGATGTAATAATATTTAAACATCATTACTACTGATGAGAAATATAATTGCTAACTGGGGGCAGGGTTAAATGACACATTGCCAGCAGAAGATGTTTATGATACTTCCAACCAAGACAAGATGTGAGTCACTTCGCTCACTTTGCCTCGCCTACTGCTGCTAACAAACTCAAGATTATACCTTAACTGTTTTTCCAACAAGATGATTGTCTTAATAGATGGCACAACAGTAGTTTGCAACAACTCCTTATTTGTGGATGTTCCAGAAGCTGTTTACTGAGATATAACAACCTGACAGATACTGTGCTAGTCATTAACATGCATAACCTCACTCCCTATAACAACAACCTACTACGTTAGGTTATGACTAAGTCTATTTTCACATGGGGAAACTGGAATGGAGAGGTTAAGCAATTCAAGTTATACAGGTATTAAGCTACAGAGCAGGACTGAAATCCAGACTGTCTACTTCAATGTCATGTTCTAACCACCTTGCAACTTTGCCCAAGTATGCCATGGCAATCTTATTACAGCTCCTCCTCCTGTCACCGGTCCTTACAACACTTTCCTTAGAAACCAATCTTAAACTTGATTGTCTTGCCTCAGTCTCCTGAATGCTAGGATTATAGGAACTGTTAGGGACCAAAATTATTGATAATAAAGTTTCTTGGGGTCCAAACATCGGCTCCATTTCCCAGGAGCCTGAATCCCCTCTGTCTTGCAGATGCGGGCTAAACTGAGCCAGATGGCATGGCCTCAGTGGAGAATGTCTCCTAGTTTGCATTAAAACAGACCTAGGCCCTGAATGTGCTGCACCTGTGCCTAGAGACTGTTTAGGTGACTCTTGAATTAAAAGAATTACTTGATATCAGCTCTATACATGATAATAGATGCCTTCTGGTATTATTGCCCTTGCCCTTGGAGAACTATTTAAGTGGACTCTTCAATAAACTGTGGCTTTTCGGTATCTGCTGGAAGCCCTCCTGAGATGATCTGGTGTTCCCTGTCTCATCCTTAGTGCCGCTGGGTAGTTAGCTTCCTCAGGTCCACATACCCCACTTCAGAATTGGACCCAGGACTGTACTGCTGGCTCTGTTCACAGTCCCAAAGACAGCAGTCCGGGAAAAGGAATGTGCTACCATGCTTTTTTTGTCTATCAGTCCTTACAGGTGTATTCTGGATTCAAATCTCACCAAACTGTCAGTCATTTATGCAAAATGGAGACTAACAGTGTCTAAAGAATGCAAGAACTTACACATACTATTCCTTGTGATAGTGATTATGCCGTTCTATTATTTTCAAGTTATGGGTTTTAGGATAAACACAGAAAATAACAAAAAGTTACAAAACTTGACAAATAATCACCTAATGTATAAAGCAAACACTCCTAAAACACTATGCTTTTGTTTGACACTGAATCAACCACTTTCACAATTATGAGAAGATGCCATTGAATCTATTTCATTTACTCTCTTTTTACAGCTCTTCCCAGGCCATTAAGAAAGAAAGCATGTACAGTTATAGCCACTACAATAAATGCACGCACTGAATTTGACCCTGTATGTATTAATAAATAATGTAATTGAAGCAGATTTTGTTTGCAAGATGTTGCTGATGTTGTTTGAGCCAACTCTCACAACATGGCCTAGCTGACCTAAGTCATTGCTATAGCCCAGGCTGTCCTTGAACTCAAGCTCTTTCTGTCTCCGCCTCTCTGGGATTAAAGGCATGTACCACCACCTAGATAAAAGACAAAAGGAATGAAAGGTGAGTCATAGACGGCTTACTCCAATATCACACAATTCAAGTCAGTTTGGACAACTTGTTTATTTTCAACCAAATACTCTCTCTTCTATTTTTTTAAAAATGGTATATAAAAACCAAACTGTACCAAAATGGATACAAATTGCCTACTACAACTAAGTATGAAGAAAGAACTGCATTGCCATGCTTTGAAGTGTCTAAGTGATGGCGCAGAATGCCATCAAAGCCAAAAGTCTGATAAGAACGACCCAATCAATGGCACAGAATGAACAAAGTATTCTTGTCTCAAGAAAATGTCACCCAATTACTTTTTTTTAAAGTGCCCTAGGGACTGGAGTGATGGCTCAGCAGTCAAGAGCACTGTCTGTTCAAGCAGAGGACCAGGATTTTACTTCCAGCATCCACACAGCAGATCACAACTGCCCGTTATTCCAGTTCTAGGGAGTCCAATGACTTCTTCTGGCCTTCCGGGGGCACAGCACATACATGTTTGCACTCACATATTTGCAATTAAAACACCCATACAAACAAAATAAAATTTAAAGTGCCCTAAACTCAACATGGTATCTCAAAATTCTCATAACACACAGATAGCTATTTTAAACACAACTCAATAATACTAAGCAACCTTACATATAAACATTTCAATATGTATATGTGTGTTTAATATGAAATGGTATTCCTTCCATTCAATTACTACTATTATGCTAATACTGTTGCTGTGTTTGGTGGCTGGTATACTAAATAAGGTGTACTTTACATAACAAGTACCAATCATGATATACAAATGAACTAGGCACTCATCAGGGGACCAGATGAATTAAGTTAGCAATGAAAGGCCTGGCCTCAAATAATAGACAGCATTTACTCTATAGTCTAAACTCTGTGTTATCTCACTTAATCTGTTCATATCAAAACCATGAAATAGGTATCATTGCTGGTCATTAAACAGACAGGAACATTATTAGGTTAATCAGCCTGCAAAGATCATACAGCTTTTAAGTTCTGGAGTGACATTCAGACCAAACAATAAGGCTTCAAGGTTTTCTAAACCTGTCACGTGATCTATAAACAAAATGACAAGAAAACTTGTCAGCATAAGCTCAACATAGCATTAAATAAGGGCAAGAGGCAAGGAAATACCCTGGAGTCAATGAGACAATGAGGGGAAACAAAATAAGGCTGCACAGAAAAGCAAGGCCTGAAGGGCAGAACAGTTCCTAGGATCAGCTCACACATGGGCAGAGCTTCACACAGCTCCACCATGCTCAACACTCAGACAGCCCCACTGCCAGTTACATTGAACATGTGTACATTTCACACAAGAAAAGTGAAACTTGGAAGTAAAGCTACTGTCTTAAGCTATGTTAGCCTGGGAGCCTCAAGTTCAACACACATCTAGAAGGCACCAAAAGCACAGCACCACAAAATTAAAAATGAGAACATGTTTGTCTACTTCCCAATTAATAAATGATATGCTACCAAGAAAAGAACACACAGTAATCAGGAAGTGGGCTGGCTGGTTTCCGTGGCCTCAAATCAACATGGTTATGTTTCTACCACCAACTACCCTCCTCCTCCAATAAGAGGGAAAGTTGTAATGATTCCTCAACACTGCTGATTCCAATACACTGAGGTCTAAGTTTCTGAAGTTTTGCTTCACTATTATTATAAAGTGCCATAGCGTTTTAAAGATACAAAATGAACTTTTGTAGAATCTGCTTATTATAAACAAGTATGCAAGTTTTTCCAAAGTTAAACTGAAGCAGTCTGGTATTATTTCAGATACCACTAAGTACAATAAAGCTTTATTTTTAAAATATTTTACTAGTTACCAATTGCAAGTTGCTGGGCAGGAAAAAGTAGTTCCCCATAAAGGGCCTTTATACCCAATATTCTTTCTCTAATTTATACTCCAGCTAATAGAATTCAGTCCCACACTTATTTTGTTCAAACCCCTTTCAATAGCCCATTTGCAAATTTATACACACATATATTCTTTTAAGCAAAGAATTTTTAACAAACCTACCACTGGCGATTTATGATATATAAATATTGTACAAAGATTTTAGAATTTCCCAACAAACACAGTTTCATGAAGCAAACTCAATACCATCTAAGAAGTTTAAGGGATAGAGCAAGAATTTATTGTTTTCCTGATTCAATGAAGGCACAGCTGCTTCATTAGTAAGCTAGATAACACCCGCTTACTAAAACTTATACAAACTCAACTTGGATATCATTTTGAATATCAATCTGAATAATTTAGAGCAGGGGTCTGGGGGAATGGCTCAGTTGGTAAAGTACCTACCCTAAGCAAGTGTGAAAACCCGAGTTTGATCCTTAGCACCCACATGAAATTGCCAGTGTGTGGTGTGTGCTTGTAATCATCTCAGCACTGGAGTTATGGTGACAGGCAGATCCTGGAGTTTGCTGGCCAGCCAGGTTATCAGAATCACTAAATCCCAGGTCCCAGTGAGGGATTATCTAAGCACCAAGGTGGATGACTCCTGAAGAACGCACTCAAGAATACCTACGGCTTCCATACACACAGGTACAGACATGAACTACACTCTCATACTTGTGTACCCACACACATAAACACATAAATAAAGCCAGAGTTGACATAGGCAAACTCTTAATGACTACTAAAATATAATTACTTTCTAACTGTCTGGTGAAAACCCATACAACTGTATTATGTTGTACAGTATACATAATACTGAATCTTCAATAAGTAACAAATCTGGTGTGTGTGTGTGCCCGCTCATCAGTATGCCAGCAAGGACATCAGAGAATAACTTGTGGGAACCAGTTCTCACCTTCTACCATGAAAGTCCTGGGATTGAACGTGGACCATCAGGCTTGGTAGCAAGCACCTTCCCCAACTGAGGCATCATCTCACAGGCCCTATTCTTGGCATTTTTGTTGGTTACCAGCAGGGTGGGAAGTAAAGTTGCCAGTGCTTTATCCTGAGACAAATTTTGAAAAATAATTATTAAAAGAGCCACAATTTATCTAGTTGTAAGCTTACTCAAGGAACTTATGCCACCCATGTTTGGGCCATATAGTGGGACGAAGTCTGCCCAGACACCCAGAGGAGGTCCACACCAACAGGGAAGGACAAAGCCTGAGAAGATCCACAGCAGCAGGGAAGGACAAAGCTCTAGACACCTGTGGCAGATGCTTGGAGAGAATGGGCTATGCTGCTCCAGGAGCAGAGGAAGAACTGGCTTGGGCTGGGAGGTGAGAAGATCTGGGAGCAGACAATCTGTTACTTGACATCTTAACTCTGTGTGACATGTGCCTTAAAACTTACTGCCTCAGTTGTGTAGCTTCTCTTCATTCTTTTACTCCCTTTGCAGTGTTTTTCTCAATTCAGGTCATTCCTTTTCTTCGGTGGCTAACTATTCAGACACAAGGTCTTTGAGGCTCACTTGGTATTTGAAGATCTTACATTTTATCAGTTCCAACTGTGCAGTGATTCCTAAAGGCAGGATGTACAGAAAGAGCAAGTACTCCTATCTCTCAGTCCACTGAAGGAAGTTTGACTTGAGGGATTTACTAAGGCAACACTGCCTAACCTCTCCAGATGTGTCTCAGAGGTCATAAGCCATGTATCTCCCCAGATTTCTGTTTGAAATTTTTTGTAGGGAACCTGGTTTCTCTAGCAGCTAACAATAAATCATCAACACACTATGTAAAATGAAACAAAATGACAACATGAACAGTACAGACTGTAGCAAAATATACAAGAATGCTAATGTAAACTAACAAAACTTCTGAGAAAAGCAAAAGTGTGCAGTTCTAGTTTCTATGGCACTTCACTTTCCTGAATTTCTAAGAGACATTACAAAGCATGTTTTTAGAAATACAAAGAATTTAGAAATACAGGGCTGGAGAGATGACTCAGGAGGTGAAGTGCTTGGCTTGCTATGCATGTAAAAGTTGGGCAGAATAGATTACATCTGAACCCAGTGCTTGGGGCCAGGAACAGAGACAGGAGAACCCCTAGAGCTCGTTGGTCGACCATTCTAGCCAAATCAGCAATCCCAAGTTTAGTGAGAGAGATTTGTCTCACTGTCTCAAAAAAAAACAAACCAAACCAAACCAAAAAAACAGCGAGAGTGACAGAAGAAGATACGGGACACTAACATCTGCCCTCTTCTCTTTCTCTCCCTCCCTCCCTCCCTCTCCCTCTCTCTCTCTGTCTCCCTCCCTCCCTCTCTCCTGTATGCATACATACATGCACACAAGCATACACACACGAAAAAGTGAAATATTTTAAAAAATCACATTAACATTGTAATTAATTCTTAAAAATTTTACAAACACATTTCAAGCTTTTTAACAACTGTGCTAAATAGAAAGCTAAACTTTCTAAATGTTCTTATGAGACTTGAGCCAGATAGCTATAAAACAACTTAAAAAAAAAAAAACAGCTACAGTAATCAAAATAATTCTACCCTATCCCTATGGATACCTAAAATTTCCACTGACAATAACTAGTAGCCAGTCACATAAGCAAATGAAAAGCAGATGAAGAATACCCTTCTCTTGGAAAAATAAGCGGGATTAAACTCCCAATACATTACTTATTAGTTCAAAAATTACGAGCACCATTAATTGCTACTTCATCTAACTACCACAATATAAATATGGACTAAAAACAGTTTCTCCAAAAGATAGGTCTCCTGAAGAAACTAAGACTGCAAATATTGCCCCCCTAATATGTTAACAGCAAAGTCACCTCACTACAACATGTGACAAAAGTTATAATAATAGCAGGAACTCATCACTTGAACAAGAGAGTCAACAACGAAAATGCAGAGTCCTTTGCAACTAACCCAGCTGTTTCACTTATGGCCACCTTAATGCTGGCCCAGAAAGACAAGTTAGTTACTCATACTCTGTGCATTTTCCTTCACCCTCTTTTATCACAACATTCCACCACAACTGGCTAATCATCCCTTGGAACAGAATTTAAGTATACACAAGAAAATAAGAGGGATGGGGATACAGCTTAAAGATATAGTGCTTGACTAGCATATGCCAGGCCCTGGGTCAAACAGAACCAAAATGAAAGAAAAAGAAACAAGAAAAAAATAAGAAAAAAGAAAGAAACCACTGTGAAGACTTAGGGAGAATGTGTATAACGACAGTGCTAGGAAGGGAAAACAGGAGGATCTTTTGGAGTTTGCTGGCCACTGCTCTATACCAATGGGCTCTAGGTTCACAAAAGGCCCTGCCTCAAGAAAATAAGGTGGACAGGTCGACAGCAATTAAGTAAGGTATCTGACATTGACTGTTGGCTTCCATATGCATGCACCTGTACATAAACCTCACAGCCTGTGCACCCAAAAATGTTTGTGCACATACAAGCACATACTATCAAACAAGGTATAATGTCAATCTGTGCTGGCTAGTTTTTATGTCTAGTTGACACATCTAGAGACATTGGGGAAGAGGGAATATTAGTTGAGAAAATGTCCCTACCAGATGGGCTTGTAGACAAAACTGTGGTGTACCTTCTGGATTGATGAATGATGAGAGAGGGCCCAGCTCACTATGGGTTATGCCACCTCTGGGCTGGTAGCCCTTGGTGTTATAAGAAAGCGGGCTGAGCAAGAATGAGGAGCAAGACAATAAACAGCATTATCAGTTACTGCCTATAGCTCCTGCTCTCACCTCCCACATGATGGACTACAGGCTGTGAGCTGAAATGAGTTTTGGTCATGGAGTTTATCACAGTAATAGACAGCCCAACTGAGACAAAGGCCTATAACCCAAGCACTGGAAAAGCTAAGGCAGGAGAGCTGAGAGTTGGAGACCAGCCTGGGTGACTCAAAAGATAAATAATAAAAATTAAAAAAAAAAAAACTACTCAATCTGGAGAGGTGACTCAGTGGAAAATCATTTGCTAAACAAGCATAAAGATCTGAGTTTGGATCCCCAGAACCCATGAAAAAGCCAGACTTCATAGTATGCCTACATTATCTGTTGCTCATCCTTGCATACATAGAAACACGATTAATTTTAAAACTATATGGGGGCTGAGGCAGGAAGGCCACAAGTTCAAGACCTGTCTGAACAATGTAGTAAGGCCCTATTGCAAAATCAAAAATTAAAAAAAAAAAAAAAACCCAAATGAGTATGTATGTAGCTCCATGGTAGAGCACTTCTCTAGCCTGCAAGAAGCCCTAGGTTTAGTCAGCAGTGCCACAAATAAAGAAAAGGAGTTGGGGACTCAGGCAATAGTGTCTCCAACTCATTGAGGAAACTACCCAAAGTAACAATCCATGTGTAACAGCCATCTAAATTATTTTTTAATGAACATAACCAACTTGACAATACAGCAATAAAAACTAGGAATGATATAAATAACTATCAATCCAGCTACTAAAAAACATGAAGGATGGCTCAGCAGTTAAGAGCACCGATCACTCTTTCAGAGGTCCTGAGTTTAATTCCCAGCAACCACATGGTGGCTCACAACCATCCATAGTGAGATCTGGCGCCCTCTTCTGGCCTTCAGGGACACATGCTGTCAGAACACTGTATACATAATAAATAAATAAATCTTAAAAAACAAAAACACAGCCGGGCATTGGTGGCGCACGCCTTAATCCCCGCACTCAGGAGGCAGAGGCAGGTGGATCTCTGTGAGTTTGAGGCCAGCCTGGTCTCCAGAGCAAGTGCCAGGATAGGCTCCAAAGCTACACAGAGAAACCCTGTCTGGGGGGCGGGCAGACAACACCATGATGCAGGGGCTGGTAAAATAGCTCAATGATTATACATGGTAGAAAGAACTTACACAAGTTGCCCAGGGCATGCATACACACTTACATACACACTGATGGATGGACAGACAGATGGATAGAATAAAAATATTTTTAAATCTTGAAGCAAAAATCACACATACCAGCTAGGTACATGCCTTTAATGCCAGCACTCAGAAAAGAGAGGCAGGCTGATTACTGTGAGTTCAAGACCAGCTTGGTCTACAGAATGAGACCTTGTCTTTAAACGAAAAATAAAATATAATTACATATACTTATTTGGATTCATCTCCAAGAAATATTTTAAGTATGTAGTTGAGGGGGGAAGCCCACAAAGCCGAGTTCTGAAAAAATGGCCAGAAATGCCAGGGGTTAGAGATTTGCATAAAGACACAGGGGTTGTCCCAAGAACTGCTGCCAGGTAGCTGAATGGAGGAGCACCTACATTTCACTCAGTCGCCTTTGGTGCACCTCTAATTGTTTAATCATCTGTATTTACCACCTAAGCAAGACACAAAACACTTTTTAATTGAAAGAAAACTTCTTGGGAAAAATGCTGAAGATTTAACACAGCTTGTCCACACAATGAACTGGACTGTGTGGGAAGAGACTTGGGTACAAGGGTGGGTCAGCTTTCTGACACATACATGCCTCCTTCCACCTTCTCGTTTTCTTTGCTGCTCTAAAAGAAGCAATGATGCAAATGAAGAGATAGACACAATGACCAAGGCCATGGCTACTACTTTTCTCCTGTGATCAAAAGAAAACCAAGCAATACTTCTTCCACCAGGCCATCCAGGAAGGAGTGTGCATGCAATGAACAACAGAGCAGGGAAATGAGGTTAAGTGTCTACGTCACATCTTCTCAATATGTGAACAGAAGAGAAGGCCCAGAGAAACAAACTTGATCACCTCAGTGATGAACAAAATGGAAGGATTTAAAGGTCACACAAATGCTGACAAAACCATACACTATGCAATCAAGGGCTGGCACTAATATTTCAAACCTAAATATAAGCCAAGAAATGGATCACACGGTAAAGACTCTGGTCAATCTACCTACCTGAAACACATCTGAATTGTTCTAAAATAGATGTCTTCAGGAATTTTACCTTTGTTTTTGTAAGTGCCTTTAGAGCTTTGCAAAGATTCTTCCTTTAAACGGCTTTGCACAAGGTATTGATCTTGCCGAC